GGTTAGCTCAAAATCCATCAGCTTGCATTCAGCAGCACATGTACCGAGAACTTCCAGATGTAGAAGTTGGGTGTCAAAGAGCCAGAAGAACCAGAGATCAAATTGGCAACATTTGCTGGATCATGGAGAAAGCAAGGGAATTCCAGAGCCTCACTGACTACATTTAAGCCTTTGACTGTGTGGATCACAGCAAATTGTGGAAAATTCTTAAAGGGATGAATTTAGACTGCCTAAGACTACCAGACTACCTTACACGTCTCCTGAGAAACTTGTATACGGGTCAGGAAGCAACAGTAACAACCAGACATGGAATAATTGAGTGGTTCCAAACTGGGAAAGGAGTACCTCAAAGCTGTATATTGTCAGCTTTTTTGCTGTCACCTATTTATTGTTTTTTATTGTCACCTATTCATATAACTTATATGCAGAGTACATCATCTGAAATGCCAAGGTGGATGAATCACAAGTTGGAATCTAGATTGGTGGAAGAAATATCAACAGCCTTAGATCTGCAGATGATAGCACTCTAATGGCAGAAAGGAAGGAGGAACTAAAGAGCTTCTTGATGAAGGTGAAAGAGGAGAGTGAAAAAGCTGGCTTAAAAATCGGAACAGTAAAAAACACAGCAAAAAACTAAGATCATAGCATGCAGTCCCAGTACTTCATGGCAAACAGAAGGGGAAAAAGTGGAAGCATTGACAGATTTTATGTTCCTAGGCTCCAAATCCCTATGGATGGCGACTGCAGTCATGAAACCGAAAGACGTTTCCTCCTTGGAAGGAAAACTATAACAGGCCTAGACAGCATATTAAAAAGCAGAGACATCACTTTGCCAACAAAGGTCTGTATATTTCCAGTGTTGTGTATGGATGTGAGAGTTAGACCTTTATGAAGGCTGAACACCAAAGAATTTAGGTTTTTGAATTGTAGTGCTACAGAAGACTCTTGAGGGACTGCAAGGAGATCAAACCAGGCAACCTTAAGGTAAATCAACTCTGAATACTCATTGGAAAGACTGATGCTGAAGCTGAAGATCCAGTACTTTGACCACCTGATGGGAAAAGTGGACTTACTGGAAAAGATCCCGATGCTGGGAAAGACTGAAGGCCTGTGAAGTAGGGGGTGGCAGAGGATGAGATGGTTAGGTAGCATCATTGACCCAATGGACATGAAATTGAGCAAACTCTGGGAGATAGTGGAGGACACTGGAGCCTGTTGTGCTGCAGTCCATGAGGTCACAAAGAGTCAGACATGACTTTGTGACTGAATGACAACAATAACATTCATTATATGTAAAAAACTACATCAAAAAACCCCAAAATCTGGATTACAAAATAAGCAGAAGAACTGAATAGACAATTGCTTCAAAAAGGATATGCAGAAGGCCAACAAGCACATGAAAGGATTCTCAGCATCACTAGTCATCAGGGCAATGCAAATCAAAACCACAATGAGATATCTCCTCATACCAGTCAGAATGGCTATCATCAAGAAGAATACAACAAATGTTGATGAGGATGTGGAGAAATGGGAACCATCATACACTGTTGGTGAGAATGTAAATTGGTGCAGTCACTGTGGAAAACAGTATGGGGTTTCCTCAAAAAACTAAAAATAGTAGTATTAGCAATTCCACTCCTGGATATATATCCAAAAAACAAAAGCCACTAATTTGTAAAGATACATGCACTTCAATGTTTATAGCAGCATTATTTACAATTACCAAGTAATTAGATAAATAAATATATCTATATAAAAAACACATTTTCTTATATATATATATATATAAGCATACTACTCAACCATATATAAGAATGAAATTTTACCATTTGAAGCACTATGGGTAGACTTGGAGGGCATCATGCTAAGTAAAATAAGTCAGAGGAAGACAAATATTGTATGTTATATAAAAACTACAGCAAACTAGTGAATATAACAAAAGAAGCAGACTTAAGGAACAAACTAGTGGTTACCAGTTTGAAGAGGAAAGCAGGAGGGACAGAGAAATAAATGGTTATTATGGGATTGTATGAAGTCATCTGTGTGAAACTTAAAAATTATAAAGTATTATAGAATTCAAAACCTCTTTTATTCAATTAAAAAAATCCAACATATGGATAGGTACTATATTATTATCATCATTTACACATAAAACTCAAAAGTTACTGACTTTGAAGACAACTTATGACCCAAATTCCATGTATCTTTTATATCTTGTATCTTCCAGGTATCTTCTTGTATCTTATCTCTTGTATTTATATCATGTATCTTCCAGGTGTCCATTATACCTTCCCATTACACCCTTCCTTAACATGATCTGGATATAACAAAGAGTAGAGTATACTTCCCAGAACTGAAAGAAAGCTGATAATAGCTGAGAGTAGAGTGGCTGTAGATGCCACTTCAAGGAGTTAGAATTTATCCCAAAGGCAATGAGAAGATGATAAAAGGTTTTAAATATGGAGGAGTGAAATTATAAATTATGATTGTTTTGACCAGGGGTCTCCAAACATATTTTGTAAAGCACCAGAAAGTAAATATTTTAGGCTCTACAAGCCAGATAGTCTCCTGCAACCGTTCAACTCTGCCATCGTAAAGCAGTCATACACATTACATAAGTAAGTTTGGCTATGTTTCAATACCACTTCATTTATGGATATGAAAATCTGAATTTGAATATCATGTATTTTTAATATCATATATTTTAAAGTATATTGATACTATTTTTTTTTAATGATTTAAAACTGTAAAAAGCCATTTAGTGGCTAAATTTGCTTGGTAGGCCATAGCTTGCTGACCCCTAATTTAGAAGATGATCACTTAGGCTATGTGTAAAGTAGACAGAGAGGTCCTTTCTGGCTCATTTCATCAGGTCTAGTACCCACATACTGACATTTTTAATATTCAAGGTCTGCTCTATCATGCTATATGTCTTTTATCTCTCTACCACCAACAGATATGCTAATGCAAAAAGAATATTCTCAGATTAAGCATTACATTTTATTTGTGACCCCTTTGTGTTCAATGTAGTCATATTTTTATTCTTTAAGGATGAGATATCTTAGGGGTAGAAGGTAATGTATAGGTAAGAATAGTACTGTTTATTTTATAAATTTTTAAATCCAAAGAGGTAATAATTCTTAGTATATAGGCTAGATCATAATTTAAATAGTAATAATTGATTAGAAAACATGATAAATTCTTTAGACAATTTCAAAGTGGAGCATCAAATGTATATGGTAGATTCATAAGCTTAATGGAACTTTAAGGCCTTAATGCTCTCTTAAGGCTTTTAATGCTTCTTAAAGGCAGACCATGGGCTATAAATAAATAGCTACATATGAAGAATAAGGATGTAGCATTTTGATTGTTCACTTTTACAAATAAAAAGGAAAGCAAAAGTATCTCATTTCCTTATTTTAAATTTTTATCTTTTACTAGTAAAAGTCCTCATGGGTTAAGGTTAGCCTATTAGTAGAAAGTCTGTTTGGCTTTAAACTAACATGGAGACTTTATATTGTTACTGCCTAAACTGAAGCTAAATGCTGAAACATATATGATTTGAAAAGAAGTTTGTAAGATGGCTTTGATGAGTATGGGTCCGTGCTCTGTCATGTCTGACTCTTTGCGACCCTGTGGACTGTAGCCCACCAATTTGTATTGGTTAATACAAATTAACCAATTATGTATTGGTTAATAGTTAATGTAGCCTAAATTACAGAATGGTATAATACTACATTGGGAAAGAAAGTTTATCAGACACTAAACATATAAATATTCATCTCTTTAGTTATTATCTTGGTTAGAAAGAAGACTGGGACTACAGACATAAAAAAATAAGAAAATAGGAAGAAAATCTACCTTTATTGCTGAGTAGTGGCAGAGGTGAGGAGGAAATAAAGTGACAAAATCACTTGGGTCAGAAAATCTAAGAAGTGTTGTAATTAAATTTCTGACACTGTGATGTTTGAATGCATAGACTTTGGTGAAAATAATAAAATGTTCCCTTAATATACTAATATTCCTATCAATGTGACCTTACAAAATACAGACAACCAACAGATAACAAAAGGTTCATACATTTGAAGTAATTAGATTTTTTTCCCATGATCAATGAAAGGACAAAGTACAGTTTAATTGAGTGATGCAAAATTAGAATTTAAACAGCAAACTCATTTCAAAGACAAGATAAACTAATATCATGAACCCATATTAACATCTAAAGCAGCAAAGCTTAAAGTACAAAATGTCTTCACTGTACAGAAGATTCAGATAAAAGAGTCTTCTTGAAGTTTTTGTTGTTTTCAAGATTTTTTGACAACAGTGAAATTTCTATGGAGCAGAATGTGCTGAAAATCAGGAACCCCGCCTTTGTTTATCTGATCTCATTGTGGCAAAAGATCTTATAAAATAAGAACCTAATACAGAGCACAAAGATGTGTAAGAAGCTAGTGTATTTTACTGTTTCATAACTATTAAATTGAGGATTAAAGCATATTTGAACTTACATTCTCTTGGATCTACTTTGCACTGTGGTCACTTTAAAAATACAAGTGAGAACATTCAAACTTACTTCTCACTAAAACCTAAGGACAAACTGAGCACATTCAAGATCTCGGGGACATGTCTTGTCCTGTATCCTGGTTTCTGAAGCTGTACTTCTATAGGGAATGGATTAGAAAGAAATTTAAGCTTGTTAGATAGGAAGGTGTCATCCTCTCACATCAAAGTACACAAGGAGAGACATTCAAGAATTATAAATTCTTAGAAAACATAAAAAATCCTTTGGGTCTGGCAAGGAAAATGTCAGCAAGTCAAAAGAGGCTAGATGGCTATTGACCAGTTTCATGAAGGCAAAGCTGCAAGACAAGATGGAATAATGCTTTCTCACCATGTGTCGAAGGCACAAATGACACTAATCCTTTTTAATGGTCACAAAAGCTGACAACTTACTCAGCGTTAGAACTGAAGGCACAAAATCATCTCAAGAAATGACTCACCATAAACAGGTCACGAGCACCAATGTCAACAGCTAACAGAAATGCCTTTTCAAATCTTTGGTACCTGTAAGAAAGAAATGTTATATGCTGTGAACAAAACTATAGAAGAGGAGAAAGAAGTTTGTTTAATGTACTTATATGCTATTGTTTTTGTTCTGATAAAAATATTCTCAAACAGTAGGGACTTCACCTGCTGGGATCTTCCCTATGTGAACTTTTATTGTACTTAGGAGGTGCTGATGCACACAGCCTGTGAAGGGGTTCAGTGTAACTGTCAAGGACAAACATAACCAGATTAGGTGCTGCTAAATGTAGAGAAATGATAACTTAGGAAATACATTTTCTCATTATTTTTTCCTTTGTTGTCTTTTGTTGTGTAAGAAGAAAGTAGGAGGATATGGACAATACAGCAGGATAAGGGCAATTAATAAATCATATAATTATATTTTATGTTTCTTAGGTAAAAGTTGAGAAGTCAAATGTTGCATTTTTACAAAACTCTCACATTTATGATCTGGGGTAAAAACATCCCCTGCTGTTGTAAATGAAAATAATAAGTGGTTTCTAAGTATTTTTAAAAAGTATTACTTTCCTACTATTTCATCACAATCATACTATCTTTCCCTGAGGTGTAACTGAGAATTTTCTTTATGAGAACAAACTTTAGTTTACGTTAATTACCTCTACAGAAAATTTAAAGCCCTGAGAGAAAAGCATGTCATGAACATATAATTTGCACAGGATTTTGGAATGAAAGGTCATCTATGCTGAAACTTACACAGATGTAACTATCAGTTTTTCTGACTCAAGAAACAAGCAGATATATAACCAAGTTGTTCTGTTCTACACTGTGAAATATGATGGTATAAAATATACTAAATTTTCAAATAAAATGTAGCAGAAATGTGGAATATTATTATTAACAGAGTATAGAAAGTTTATTAGTGAAATAGCTAATATAATTAAAATTCAAACAAGGCTTATTATTATTCCATATGAACTGGTAGGCCAGAAACTAAAACACTTTGTAATTTCCATACTGTGGAAATTACATCTCCCATCTACTCTCTGGTTATTCTTACTAGTATCTCCAGTATTTACTGAATCCTTTTCAACTATGGAAAATCAGAAGAAAATTGTGTTCATTTTTGTTCCAGGAAAATGGCTGACTCTATATATTCAGTGGACGTCGGATATAATAGGAATAGGACAGAAGATCAGCAAGTTGTACTATTACTACTATTCAAACATTTACTGCCATTTTGCATTTGCTCCCACCTACTACACTGAAACTTTTCTAGCAATAGTAATTATTCATCCTCTAAATTCAAACTTAAAGATAAGTTCTTATCTTGTGTGCTTTTTCGGCCACATCTGACCCTATTAACTTCCCCTACTTGAAACCCTCTTTCTTTGCATTTGGAGATCCATTCTTGCATTTGGAGATTCATCTTTTGTTTTCTCAATTCTTAGATTTCACCTTCTTAGTCTCCTTTTTAAGTTAAGTTTTCTCTGCCTATTCCATGAAGGAGCAGGCAGTAACCTACTCAAATAGGGTTACTACCTCAGTAACCATAACTACTCCTATGGCATTGATACATCAAAGACACAAATCTCTAGTGTCCATTTATTTCTGGAGCTCTAAACTCTTTTGTTCCAGGTATCTCAAATTTAACATGTCTAATAGGTCCATTGACACACCAATTTGGCAACCATAGATGTGATTCATTGGAATTGGGAAATATGAAATTAAGGTGAGCAGCTTAGGAGGTATAGTTCCTTCTAGGTAAGAGGTAATGATTCACATTATGATAAAATGAAAGAATTGGCACTGGCATCTGGTAGTATGATCAACCAAAAATACCAAACCGTGCTCCCAACTATACTGCTTATAAAATACATCTTAAAGTACAACGTAAGACTCTTAAAAAAAAAAAGAAAAGGAAATTTCCAAGGACAACACATTTTCAATAAAAAAAAAACAACAATTAATCAAAGTTCCTTGACTGAAACTAGAGTTAGGATCCATAACCAGAAATCAAAAATGGGGGAAAAGGACAGAACTACTCTGGCCATCACCCTCAGAAGACTGAGCCTTGACCAAGTCTTAAGGTAAAGGTGCTTAACTTGAGACTTCTGATTAAGCCAGGGGCTAAAATGATCCCAAGTTTTAAGTGCCCTTAACATCGACAGAAACAGTAAAAAGAAAATTTATGTCTGGATTAAAGCACTTTTGATACAAGTCACCAGAACTGCCATAAATTAAAACAAGTATGAGCTCACACTGAAACATTAGTAAGTACAAAAGAAACAAGCTACTGTGATGGGAAATTAGAAAATAAACAACAGATTTACTTCTCCGTGGATTTCAGATGATTGAATTATTAAAGTTAGAATGTAAAACAGTTCAGCATATTTAAAGAAATAATGATGGGGCCATGAAAATAAGCTTACAACAGGATATATTAATAATAAAAGTGTTACCCACTAGATTTTTTAAGAAATAAAAACAGAACTTTTGGAAATGAAAAATTGAAGTTAAATAATTTGGTATAAAGAGAGAATTAGTGAAATAAAAGGGGCATAAATAAGGGATTACACAAAATGTTAAAGAGACAAGAAAAAAATATAAAGGGAAGTTAGCAATACAGAGAACATGGAAGAGTCTTAACACGTCTAATCAGGTAATTAAGGTAAATGTGGACAACTTTCCAGAGCTGATAAATGATATGAATCAATAAACACAAGAGGGACAATATATATCAACCAGGATACACTGAAAAGAATCTATAATTATGCAAATATACAATGAAGATGCAGACCTCTAAAAAAGGTCTTAAAAAGCAAGAGAAAAGACAGGTCACCTACAAAGAAGATAACTTACAAACAGACTGACACCAGACCTCTCAATGACAGCGATGAGTGTAGAAGACAGTAGGGCTGTATCTTCAAATAATAGAAAATAAGCATTTCTCTTGTATAATGTAACAATGGAATTCTCAACAGGTAAAGCAAAATAAAGACACTTTAAGATACGTAAAAACTGAAAGCATTCAACAGATCTTCAATAAAGGGACTTCTAGGGGACATAACTCAGGAAAAAAGGAAGATGATCCCAGAAGGAAGGTTTGAGACACAAGAAGGAATAGCTTAAAAAAAAGATTTGGTTAATATACAGGCAGATAAATACACACAGACATACATGCACATACACGAATATTTTGCTATTTTTAAGATCAGAAAACACTAATTAGATATGTCATATTAATCAGAAAAAAGTTATAGTGCTATGGTCCTTGCTTTCTGAATTGTTGAAAATAATTGTTTGATTTTGGTAACTGTCAGAACCAAATTACAAATGGCAATCATTAAAAGTTTGTATAAATGCTTAAACAGTAATATAGGTAGAGCGGGGTAAAGGGTGAGCAAATTGAAAACTAAGAAAATTCAAGAAGTATTAAAGAAAAGAACACTGGATCTACCCCAGTACACTGGTGAAAACAATGCCTGAGAGACACCAGGGCCAATTGCCAGCAAACCCACAGTTAAAGTGTGGCCAAGAGAAGTGCCAGTCAAGCGTGTAATCTGAGAGCCCACACAACAGGGGAAAGGTAACACAGCAGAGCACGGCCAGGGGTGAACATCTCCAGAGGTAGAATACTGAGTGGCTTCTCTCCCAGCGGGAGTTCTCTAATCCCACCTACCTCACACCACAGATCAGAAAAGAGCTAAGAAACAGATCTGGGGATCTCTGCTCCAACAACTAAGGAGCAGACCCCACCCCTGACAAGGCAGTGATAACCAGAGAGTCTGTCTGATATGTCCTTTTATACATCAATTTGGCAACCATATATATGATTAACTAGTTCAGGATGGGGAACACATGTACACCCATGGAGGATTCAAGTCAATGTTTGGCAAAACCAATACAATATTTGTAAAGTAAAATAATAAATAAATTATTTTTTTTAAAAAGAGGAAAATAAAAAGAGAAATATGAAATTAAAGTGGACAGCTTAGGCAATACACTTCTTTCTAGGTAAGAGGTAATGATTCACATTCTGAGAAAATGAAAGAATTGGCTTTGGCATCTGGTAGCATGATCAACCAAAAATATCTAAGAGTGCTCCCAACTAGACTGCTTATAAATATATATTAAAACACAACACAAAACTCTTTAAAAAAAGGTTTCCAAGAATACCACACTCTCAATTACAAAATAACTAACTAATCAAAGTTCCTTGATTGACACTAGAGTAATGCTCCCTGAACAGAGCAAAAGAGGGAAAAAAGGCAGAACTAGTCTGAGCCATCACCCTCAGAAGACTGAGCCTTGAACAAGTCACAAGATAAAGGTGCTTAGCCTGAGACTTCTGATTAAGCCAGGGGCTAAAATGATTGCAGGTTTTAAGTGCCCTTAACATTGACAGAAACAGTAAAAAGAAAATTCATTTTTGGATTAAAACACTTTTAATAGAAGCCACCAGAATTGCCATAAATTAAAACAAGTACAAGTTCACAATGAAACATCACCAAATACAAAAGAAAACAAGCTACTGTAATGGAAAATTAGAAGATAAACAACAGATTTACTTCTCCCTGGATTTCAGATAATTGAGTTATTAAAGTTAGAATATAAAATAAATCAGCATATTTAAAAAATAATGATGGAACAATGAAAAGAAGCATACAACAGGATATATTAATAATAAAACATTATCAGGTAGACATTTGAAGAAATAGAACTTCTGGAAATGAAAAACTGAAGTTAAATATTTCAGCACAAAGAACTAATGAAGTAAAAGAGGCATAAATAATTACATAGAATGGTATACAGAGAGACGAGAGAAAAATATAAAGTAAGTTTAGCAATGCAGAGAACATGGAAAAGTCTAGCATGTCTAATCAGGTAATTAAAGGCAGAGAATATTCCAGAGCTGATAAATGATATGAATCAATAAACACAAGAGGGACAGTATATACCAAGCTGGATACATTGAAAAGAATCTATAATTATGCACATCTATAGCAGAGATGAAGAACTCCAAAAATAAAAAGATCTTA